ATACAGTAACCGTGGCGTTGAAGTGCTCGCAAGCTACACAGAGAAACTCCACGTCGACTCTGGTGAAGGGACTGCGGCAGTGGTGTACCGTCGATTAGGAGAAGGGTCTATGATACTGACTGGTCCACATCCAGAGTCAGTGGTATTGTCCGTAGAAATGATCACTGCTAACTGTTCCAGATTCGCCGCCGTCAACCTCAACAAGAACGATGACGGACCCGACTACGCCAAAGTAGTAGACGCATTGGCTGCCGATGACAAGCAACGAACAGACTTCCTCAAAGCATGTCTGATCAAGCTCGGACTGCAGGTGAACCAGGAAGCACAAGCGGTACCATCCCTTTCCCGCCTCCATCTTTCTGCTGCCCAAACATCCGATGTCGCAGAGCTTCTTTCCGGCTGGCAAGAGATCATCACACTCGAGGACGACGAAGAGTTCATCAAGGGGGAGAATGATATCTTCCATCTTGAGAAACCTTCGCGATGGTCAATGAGCTCTGTTGCTAAAGCCGTCGCCTCTGTCCTCCCCGACAGTCTGACTGCAGAGAAAGAGAAAACTGACGAAGCGAGTGTTACTGGCGATAGAATCCTCGACTATAAAGACATCATCAAGAGACTTGTCGCGCATGAGATCGAGCTGCCGACTGCCAAAGAAACGCCGTACTGGAATCACCACGCGTACTTTGCCAATCTCGAGCACTATGCGAAACTGTCAAAAGTCCAGGATTCGGAATTTGGCAAATACCTGATGTATGGAGAAGTAGTGACAAGCACGAACACCATACTAGAGAAGTAAAATCCTGAGTACTCCTTCCTCAGCTCTATACACTAAACCTCGAACAGGAACCCATCACTACTCCGCCACCTCCCCTCCGGTTTCACCGCCACCGCAACAACCCAAGTAGCCGGCCGAGGTCGCGGTTCCAACGTCTGGGTCTCGCCCCCCGGCTCCCTCATGTTCAGCACCGTCCTACGGCACCCCGTCTCACTCACCCAAAGTGCCCCCGTCGTCTTCATCCAATACCTCGCCGCCCTTGCCATGGTCGCCGCCGTCCACACCTACGAACCCGGTTACCAAAAGCTCCCCGTCAAGCTGAAATGGCCCAACGACATCTATGCGCTCAATCCTGACTCAGACTACTTCAAAGAGGGCAGTGGGCCTTCGAAGGAGTATGTCAAGATCGGCGGTATTCTAGTGAACTCCTCGTACAGCGGGAGTGATTACACGCTCGTAGCTGGCGTGGGCGTCAACGTCGCCAATGCGGCGCCGACTACGAGTCTGGATGCCTTGGCCGGAGCAAGCGGCTTGCCGCCTTTTAGGGTTGAAAAACTGCTTGCGAGGATACTCGTTTGCTTTGAGCAGATTTATCGTAGCTTTTGCCGGAATGGTTGGGATAAGGAGATGGAGGAAACTTATTACAAGAATTGGTTGCACTCGTAAGTGTTCCGTCAGACTTCAATGCCGACATGAAGCTAATTGTTCGTCTTACTTGATTAGCGACCAAATCGTCACTCTGGAAGCTGAGGGCGGTGTCAGAGCCCGCATCAAGGGAATCACGCGCGACTGGGGCCTCTTGCTCGCCGAGGAGCTGGGCTGGGAGGACCGCAGAACGGGCAAGGTGTGGTCACTGCAGAGCGACAGCAACAGCTTTGATTTTTTCAAGGGGTTGGTGAAGAGGAAGGTGTAGCATCACTTCTGTATTTTACTGTGCTAAGCCTATCTCCCTAAGTTAGCGCATTGACAGGCTCGTCGGGGAAGAAAAGGAAAGTAAGAAGGATTTGTATACTACGTTGGAACAAGAAAGGTACAGCAATGCGAATTTATGTATATCGGGATGGGTTGTTCCCGAACCCTGTGAGCGCATGCGAGTATCACGAGCGCGCTACCCTGCGCTACTGCCATGATCGTCAACACGTCAACAGCAACGAACCACCCATCAAACCCACCCACCTGGCCCAAGCTTCCAGCATTCCAGAGCTACCATCCCAGCGTCTCTCAACCTCACTCTCGTCCAAACAACGATTCCAACTCTCCCCTCCTCCGCGTCTACCTCCATAATCATACCTCTCTCACCCAGCGCAATTCTCAACGTATCCTCTTCCCTACCAATCCGCCCGCCCTCCCGCCCACCCCTCACCATCCACCACCCACCCACCGCCCAACCACACCCTCCCACCAACCATGAACTTCGCCCCCTACCAAGACGCCTCCCCAGATCGCGAACGCGCCCTGTCCCCGCCCATCTCCCCCCGCCCCTCCCTCGACCGCGCCCGCCAACCCATCGCCCGCATCGCCTCCCCCAGCATCGGCACAAACGCCATATCCCCCGGCCCGGCCCGGCAAGGAAGCTACTTCCAGCAGCAAAACAGATTCCAGGACCAGCGCTACAGAGATGTAGAAGCCGGAGCCGGAGCCGGGATGCGGAGTCCTGGATGGAATACTGTGGGCGCGGATGCGGGGACTGGGAATGGAAGCGGAAGCGGAAGTAGAAGTGGAAGTGGAAGTGGAAGTGGTGGGTTGGGAAGCAGTTTTGGCGGCGGCGGCGGCGGCAGCAGAAGAGAAGACGTGGATCTGTTCGAGACGCGGTTGGGGCTGCGGATGGATTACGAGGCCTGCTTGGCGTATCTGGGTGTGCCCCCCGTTGCTGGAGTGTTGCTGTTGGTGCTGGAGCATCGGAGCGATTATGTGCGGTTCCATGCTTGGCAGTCGAGCTTGCTGTTCTCGTTCCTTTTTGTAAGTTTGGTCATCCGGGATTGGGGGGTTGATCGGTGGGATGAGTGTCTGGTTGCTGATACGAGGGGAAATACAGATCATTCATGTCATCTTCTCGTGGTCGAGTGTGATTTCTTGGTTGCTGTTCGCCGGCGATCTGGGGTTGATTGGGTACCTGACTTTTCGGGCTTATCAAGATGGTGAGTATATCTTTTCAGGTTGGCAGCATCTTGATTGCACGTTGGATGGTTGCTGACTATGTTCTACTTTAGCCGAAACTCTTGATCGCTGCGAAGTACCCTTCTTCGGTCCTCTGGCAAGCTCTATATTGGATGATGAATAAGAGTATGCATGAGTAAACGTCTGATGGACTATGGGTTACGCTGTTTATGTGTCTGATTATAGATACTTCTTTTCTCTGTGCAGGGGTTAAGCCTTGGGCGTTTGTCTTCGCCATGCGGAATACCCCTTCTGTAAATCACCTGGGTCTATTGTACATTTCTGTAAGAATGATTCACATCGAGAAGTTGATATAATCATCCATAAAATCTCATCCAAAGCGCTTCTTCGCCAAATCGCGAAGCATATCCATAGTCTTCTCCTCCTTCGCCCTATGTTCTGCCAGTCTCTCCTCCCTCTCATACTCACGTATCCTCAACTGCTCCTCCGCCCGAAGCTCCCTCTCCGTCTTCTTGCGCTCAAAGTCCTTCTTGCGCTTCTTGTACGCATCGACGCCATCATCCCCCATCAATTCGCCGTCCCCAACCTCCTCCGCGCCCGGCGATTTCGCGTCCCGGAAACCTCGTACCGCGGCGGTTTTCTCAGCCTTCTTCTCCATCTGGCGTTCACGACTGCCCGGGTCCGCGCGTGGAACGAGTTCTTCGAGTCGTTCTTTCTGGAGACGTCGGTCGGTTTTGCGTTCGAAGCGGAGGTCTTCTCGCTGGAGAGCCATGTCTTCGCGGAGGAGTTCTGAAAGACAAGTCAGTTTGCAGTAGAAGTAGAAATCAGATTCGGTTCCAAATCTCCGTACCATCGCGCATTTGCAAATCTCCTGCCTTTGGTATCGCAGGTCCCACCCGTCCTGCTTGCCCTGGCAGGGGCGCGGCAGGACCGAACTCATCCTCGCTGTCATCGCTATCCGCATGAGCATCCTCCTTCCGCTGTGGCTCCTCTCCATACTCCGGCGAGCCTCGCGAGGCTTGACGGGTCGGCTCCTCATCGAGCATCTCGGCCGCTTTCTGCTTCATCGCAGGATCATACCAGCCCTCAGCTAATTCGCCGCGGTTCCTCCCGCTGTCAGCCTACCCGTTCACAAGAAAGCGCACCCCCAACGAACAGTATTCCTACATACCAATGGCCGACAAAGCTCTTCCATCGCCCTTTCACTTCCTTCTCGTCCATGTCCTCGAGGAACTTTTGTTTCTGGATGTCGAGGTAGGATGCGAAAAGGCCTTTGTAGGCCTCGAAGTCGTTGCTTCTGGAAAGGTGGCGAGCGCTGAAAGGGAGTGAAGCGGCGCGCGCGGGTGGATCGGCTTTGCGCTCATCGCGACGGGACTTGTGGGAATGGTGGTGGTGGGAGTGGTGTCGGCGGTGCGAGGTTGAGCGCTCACGGCGACTGTGTGTTCGATGATGGTGTTGAGGTTCGCGGTACGGTGACCGTGATCGAGAGCGAGAGTGTGAGGGCATCTTTGTAGTGAGGTATGTTGGAGGTGGACAGCGATGGTCGAGTCCTCACGGTCGTGCGCTGATGTACGGAGTTACTACATCAGATCCCCGATAAGCTGATAAGCGAGCAATGCTCCAGGGTTTGTGTCGGTCCCGCTTCCTTGACAGCAACCTTTTCTGGACTCCAAGACTCATAGCTCACCGCTCACATTCTTTGCGTTCTCATCAGCCAGTAGCAACATGTGTCTGTTTATTTCTGCCAAGTCAGGTCCCTCACGATATCGACTTGTTATTCATGTCGCAGCCGGTGAAATTTACTTGTGACCGGGCACGCTTCGACCTTCTGGCTTATTTTCATGGGCCTACTTCAACTTCTCGAAAAAGACCGGAAAGGCTTACTTTTGTATCCTAATGACTGTTTAGACTTGCTTCAACTATCCGAAAAGTCTATATATAACATGCCCCGACATAGCTCACACTTATTGTTCGCCGACTGCCCGTTCAAGGGACCAATCGTGTCCAGTCTCTGTTGCACATAAAACTCGCAAATCCGCAAAACAGAACGCTCCAGCAGCACAGTCCCAAAGCCCTGAGAGGACCAGGAGAACCAAAAACCAAAAAATGGAGCCTGTGGGAATTGAACCCACGACCTTTCACATACACATATGTTTGGACGATGCGAAGCGAAAATCATACCCCTAGACCAAGACCCCTATCTATGCTTGAAGCATGAAATAAACTTGCGCTGTGTAATTTATGTACACATCATTGTCTGGAGAACAGTGGCATTCCATGCTCTGGAGATGTTAACAAGGGTACTTATGCGAGTTAGTGATGGCTGATTACTGCTCTGCACTGGAGTTTCCGCAACGTTTCTGTAGTTCCCTAAGTTCTCGTAGTTCTCATGGAGAAGGACTTCGTTGATCGGACTGTGGTGAAATACTCCGTAACGTACTGAGTCGTCCACTCTTTCAACCTAACAGCAAGCCGAATAGTGGCTGTCGTAGTATCTTTCATTCTGTGATCTGTAGCAAGACTCTAAAGCGAAGCCCTTGTGAGTAAGTTCTCCATATTCGACATCGTGGAGCCCACGCTCGTGCCATAAAAATCTTGAAGATTGCCTTGTTGAAAATCTCAGGCGTTTGCTCGGGCGCTGGCGGGGTGTTCGTACTGTAGTTAACCCGAGTCGAGTCTGTGCACATCTCGGACTTGACAACTTCGAAGCTCGACGCTTTGCTTGAGTCTCACATCTGATGTCTCAAGATTCGCATCGCTCATACAAGCAGACAGCTTGCTCTAGAAGACATGGGAACGACAAGGCGAGGTACCCATAGCCGAAGCATATCTGTCTTGTTCGATTGATACCGCCCTCAAGCCGGAAGGCGATTGTCGCCGAGCTACTTTGTCACAGGCCTCAACAACCACATTTACACCCACGCCTTCTACCATGAGTTTAGTTTAAGACCGAGTGAAAAGCAGCGTGGTAGTATTCGTAAATCACGATACTAGTAAGCATCTTCTTGGTGACCTCACGAAATTGGTAATTTAGGTCGCCGCTGTTGTTGCGTTATCATGTTGTTGAAGTACTTCATGCTGCTCTAACAAGACTCGTTTGTATCTATTGGCACCGTCACCTTTCCTTTTCAAACTTCTTCTACCTTTGGACTCTTGCATATCTTGGTCGACGATCGGCTGTTCCTCGCACAGCTCCACACCACATCCTCACCAACCACCCACAATGTCTTCCTCATCAGCGACAACAAGCACGAATGAGAAGCCAAACGTCAATCAGTCACCACCTGCTGACATTTCCGAGCGTCTCTGGATACGCTGGGTATGCCACTTTTCCGAGTTCCGACTCCAAGCTTCACCCCACGCGCATGTCAGACTAACACCACACCTTCCACCAGGCCGACTGTCCCATCGCCGAACCCACATCTACCTTCGTCCTCACCGCCCCTTCCGGCGCCTTCGTCGACATCCGTCTCCTCAAGCCCCTCCCTCACGACCCCGAAGACTACCCTGGTCTTCCAAATGACCCCTCCGCCCCGCTCTCCCGCCTCGACTGGGCCTTCTCCGGCGTCGCCCAAACCACGAGCGCAGATGGGGACGATGTCACACATAAGCGCTGGCTGCACATCATAGACTCGAAATGCGGCTGGGGCGTCAAGCCACCGACGGACGAGGGCGGCCTTTACGATGTCGCCGAGGACCCGAATCTATCTTTGGAGAGGGGAGTTATGGTCAAACCTGACACAGGGGAGATGACTGCATATGAGGAGCTATGGCGGAGTCTCGCGGTCGTGGCCGTTGGCACCGACACCCACAAGACGTGCATTGTCGCATCGCTGGATGCGCCGGAGCGCAAGACGCGTGGAGTTATCATCCGGCTGGGACAGTATTGCCAGGGCATGATGATGGTCGATGATGAGGTGCATCTGGAGAGGTGGGCATTCTTGCCCTCGAATCCGCTCGGTAAGAAGTTCGAGACGCCGTTTGGCACTCTTGAGGATGCAGGAGGATGGACGAGGATTGCGAGGCTAGGAGGAGTGTTCTTGCCTTGTGCGTGGTTGTTTGAGAAGGGAAGAGTTGCGGTGGGAAGTGAGTTGATGTATGGGAATGACCAGTGGGTGGTTAGGGAGATGGTGGAATGGTGAGGTGGCTTTGTGCCCACTTTGCCAAATCCATGCTCCCAATGGAGCACAAGGAGTTGATTTGACTGAAGATGGATTGGAGATGTGGAACACTCGTTCTGCTCGTCTCGATCGTCCCTCTTTCCAGGTCTGGCGCTTTACACCAACACTACCCGCACCTCACCTCGACTCCAGCTATCTGTATCCGTGGGCCATTTCACTCACTTTCGAGGACCCAGGTTTCGCCAGGGGAATCCCAACCGGGCCCTACATATTGCTGCTTTCTTCATGATAGGCGGTCGAGTTTGTATCATTCGGGTATTTCAAAGCCAGCGGAGGCGTATTCAGAATTGTAATTTATACCCAACTCTTGTTTGCGAGCATTACCAAGTTTTGTTTTTTGGTCCTTCCAAGAACGGCATGAGGAACTTCCTGTTCGATAAGATTTGGACTTCCTCAGACTTACCAGCTTCCAAAATACAAGGACGCAGCCTCGGCCAGCACAAGTTGGGAAGGAACCACCAAATACTTATGGCTACAACAAAACCTCCCCTGTTTACCTCTCTCTCCCGTCCATCTCTCATCCGTCTTCCACTCTTTATCCTTCCACTTGTATATGCTTCTGCCCTCCTGAACCCAAACCGATCTCAATATGCCTCGTTCAGTGTCTTTCATCCCATCTCAAACGCCTGACGAGGCATCTTTCACTAGCTCCCGGGCAGCACTCCAGAGCCCCTGGGTTCAACTCTACAACGACGCCATCACGCTCTTCAGCAACATCCGATATGTCCCGAACGTCTTCCTACCGATGAAACAGGCGCCGCCAATGCCTGGGGTGTTTCAAAGGAAGAACCTGGTGTACAGAGACGACACGCTCAATACGATCTGTGTCGCCGTGCAGATTCTCATCACAATCATCTCGCCCATTATCCTGTTGCTGCCGGGCTGGGGCATCATTATTTTCACCTGGGTGATGTGCATACTTGTGTACGTCTGGGTGTCCCCGATGTGGGGTGGTTTGATTGTTCAGTCGAATCCCTACTTGGGTGAGCCGAAGAAGTTTGGGAAGGAGAAGTGGTTCTTCATCAACGGCATTGCCACCAGGTATGTCCCGTTTCCAGTCGAGCAAACCAATCTTCTTCTTGCACTGACGCAGCATCCAGTCACGAAAGTCTGCAACTGACGTGCGACCGCCTCGCCGCCACATTCAAGAGACCAGTCACCGGCATCCACAACCGGAGTTTTGGCATGATAGCCGATGTCATCGAGTGCATTATCCAGCGCTGCTTCGCCTACATGACGACGGACGTACGCTGCTGCTTCGAGGTTCTGAAGCTTGCCGTCCTCGACCCGGAGGTTGAGAAGGTGGTTGCCATTGCCCATTCGCAGGGCGGCATCGTCATCTCCCTAACTCTTGATCGCATGTTCGCCGAGTTGCCCACCGCGGCCTTGAACAAGATGGTAAGCCATCCTCATTCCCATTCCCCTCTGCATGGCTGACCGTCAACGCCCAGGAAATCTACACCTTCGGCTCCGCGGCCTCTCACTTCAACAACCCTCTCACCAACCCCACTCCTTCCTCGCAATTCACCACCCCAAATCGCCCCACCAACGTCCTCTCGACCATCGAACACTACGCCAACGAATTCGACATGGTCCCCCGCTGGGGCGTCCTCCACGCCACCCGCGACCTGACCCTCCAGCGCTACGCCGGCCGCGTCTTCGTCAACATCGGCGGCTCGGGCCACCTCTTCAACGACCACTACCTCGAGCCCATGTTCCCTGCTGCGTCTATCCTACAGGCGTCGACTGGGGCCTCGTCGTCATCGTCGTCTCTTGAGCTCGAAAAGACGACGTCGGATGCCAATATGGCGCCTCGACCGGGCCTTTCGCCATTCTTGGACCGCATTGTTGATGTTGATTTCAACACTGCGATGCGGCGTGCGCAGACGGTCGATGACTCCAAGGGTATGGGCTTCGTGACCAGTCCGGCATCCGGTGAGGCCCAGGCGGGCGCAAAACGGGGTCAACAGTTTGGTGCTAGGCCTAGTGTCAAGGATGAGACGCAGACTGCGATTGGAGAGGGAGCGGGAAGGACGGTCAGGCAGTTGAGCAAGCTGTGGATGTATGTTGGTGGTGGGGAGCCCAGGGGCAGGGAACAGAGTAACGGGTGAGAACCCGACTTTGGAGACGGAGGCAAGGGAAATTTGATGAAGAGGCAGGTGGAAATGGTCATGGCTGGACTGCCGATTGCTTGGGCATTACGGGTCGGACTCTCAGGAAGGCGGAAGCTCTATTAGCTAACCTCATACTCTTTTCGAATCCTACTTTATCAATACGATGGACACGATGAATCCTAATCCCTTCACAACGATCACACAACATGGCAATGGAAAAGAAAACAGAGGGTGATCCTCGTGTTGTGGGTATCTGACAAGCCGCGCAATCCTGACCAGATCGCTTTGATATTTTTTCTGGCATACAGCTCGTTCCAATCCGTTAGGTGATACAAGCAGTGAACGCCGACCCAGCACTTTTAACCGCTTATTTCTTAGCAGCCTCCTTCTCCTCGGCCTTGGCCTTGGCACGCTTCTCGCGGACACCGATGAGACGGGCCTCAGAGCGGGCCTCACGGAGGGTGCGGTAAGCGTTCTCGGTGCCGAAGTCGGAGACCTTGCCCTCGGAAACGCCGCCGGCGTTCTGGATGGGCAGGATGTCGCCAATGTTGCGGACAACGTTCTCGCCGTTCTTGGCGGCGTTGACCTGCTCGCGGCTGGCGTCACCGTTCTTCTCCTTCTGCATCTTGGCACCAGAGCGGCGGGGGAAGAGGATGAGACGCTTGCGGTACTCCTGGAGGCGCTCGACGTTGGCCTTCAGGGACTCCTCGGAGAGGTTCTGGCGGCGGGGGTCGACGGAGATACCGATGGTGGGCGCAAGCTTGCGGGGAATGCCAGCCTCCTGCAGACTGTGTCAGAAACTTCTTCGTCCATTCTGTTCCCATGCCAATGAGTGTTTACCTTGAGCTCAGCCAGGGAGAAACCACGACCAGCACGAACACGACGGTTGTACTTGATGGAGGG